AACACAATAAAAACAGCACTATGTAGTTGGATACGACAGACATTACATTTTCTAATTGCATAGCTTTTGCACATAGATTTTCTTGATGGATGATGCGATGAGATATAAATAATTTAGAAAAATTCTGTTCTCCCATTTTTTGTTTGAATAAGGAAATGACTCCCTTATTTTTTCCTGTCATTGCTGCCGCAACACTTCAGAAAATAATATTCAATTTAAACTAGACGAATTACATCGAAAAATATTTATTTATAATTTCTTCTAAACATCTCGCGGGCCGGATAGAAACTTTTCGCGGGCCGTAGCTGGCCCGCGGGCCGGGGGTTGCCCACCGTTGGTCTATAATGAGAATAAGTGGGTGAAGCCCGTGAGCTGAGAATGGGAGTTGAGCCGCCTACGGCTGTTGGGGGCAAAGATCTCTAGTATTAAAATAATTTTAATGATTAACTGGATTTTATTAATATTTTAAATTATAAAGCTACAGAAATTATATATACATATATACAGTGAAATAATACTATAGGCCTATAGCAAACTAAGAAAGAGAAAAAAATATAGAAGCGAGAATATTCACAAGTGTTTCACACTTTTCTAATTTTATAGGTTTATTAATTATTCTGATTAAAATATATATACACCATTATATATTTAATTAAAAATAGAAATAGAAAAATAGACAGATATAAATAACTTTATTGATATTGCAGTACTTAAGGGTATAAAATAAAATTTATTATATATTAGTTATTATATCAGTTTATTAGATAAAAGTTAAATTTAGATTGTAATACGTTCAAGAATATATAGACCGTGTATGCTATAGAGAAGTATAGTCTTCAGAATCTACGAAGTGAAGTTGATCTCTGTGATTCTGATAACGTCCAAACGGGAAACAAATCGATGGAAAGACAGTCACAATATTATTTTATGGTGTAGGATATTTCTGATGATCATGAAGGTAAAGACGATTCGTTGTGTCATATGTAGTCAATGAGGAATTATTTTTTTTTCTAAAAAAAAATATAGAGGAAATATATCTTGCAAAAATTTATTAAATTGATTGATTATTAGATATCTGTTAAATTCTTCGCTATTGCATTTCAAATTGAGAACTCTTTTTTGAATTTTTTCGATTTGTTTTTTATTTTGAAAATATGATTAACAGTTTTTTTTTATTGATGAATAGGTGATTTTTTTTACTATTCAAATCAGTTCTGTTAATATTTTACTTTTAATTTTAAAGTAATTCTACATAAATATTTAGATTAAAATGCTTTAAAACTTATCTTATATATTAAATCATTAACTAAAAGTTCAAATTAAATTAAAAGTAAAAAATTAGAATAACGAAAATTTCGTATTATTTATAATTTAATTTCACACGATTTTAAATGATTTTAGATTACTTTTAAATATTTTTCGGCAGCGAAATTTAAGCCATATGTTTGCGATGCTAAGTAGGCCTACCAGTATATAAATAATAATAATAAAAATTATTTTTGGAACGATACAGAGCAGAAATATCAGTAATTAGTTGCTAAGAACATGTTTTATTTCCTACCAAACGTTGTTTACCTCAGAATAAATTTTTGTCGTTTTCTAAGAATTTCCTTATATATTATTGTTTTATAATGAAAATAAGGTTATTTTTATAACAATTTAATTTTTTCCTAACTCTTCTAGAGTTTATTTGTAAAGTTTTAAAATGAATTACAAATATTTGATGTGTCTTTTATCATTAGAAAATGGCATTAAGTAAAATAAATTAGCTTTTATAAAATACTTGTTCTACAGGCCTATACACAATATAATGTATTTGATTTTCATAATTTCTTTAGAAAAATGTGAATAAATAAATTACTTAAGATGATTCATTTGCTATATACTGTGTATATTTTGATTAGTACGAGTTCATTTATAATTGTTTTGACGTTGACTTGACTTTTTTTTTTTTTTTTTTTTTTTTGGTTGAAAGAGGGGAACTTGTTAGACAGATCGATGCGTAGCGGAAGTTGGAATAGTTTTGATGGAACGACGATGCGACGGTAGCAGATGGATTGTAGCTTTCTGGTAGGAACCAGGCTTTAGTCATAAATTCGCTAACGCTACTACTATTTTATATCCAAGAAAAACTAAAAAGAAAGTATCAAAAGGAGATAAACGCATAAATTCAAAATTCTATATAAAGTTTTTTTTTAACTGAGTTTTCCCGATTCAATTTACAAAACGGTTGAAATCTTTGTAGCATAAAATGATACTTTATTTGTTAATGTCGAGTTTCGTAATTTTGCGCACGTTTAGATAATAAATTCGTAGTTGGAAGTTTATTAGCTTCATGTCAATGGTTTTAATTTTTCCACAAAGTCTATTAAGCATTTATGCTATTTTCTGTTTTTTTTAATGCAAAATATTTTTTACACAACGTAAAATGTTTCTAGAGCTATGTCTCTGGCGCTTAGCGTATTGAGTTTCCGAGATATATGTTCTTACGCTACTGAATTTTGTGTTATTCATTTATTCATAAGCATAAATCGGACATTGGGATGTAAAATTAAATGTATTAAATCATGAAGTGCAAAATAGTTGAACATTTTTAATACGGATTAAATACCAGAAACGTCAAGTTAAATCAGAAATTCATGCAACTTGTATTCAAAGATTTTATTGCGAATAATAATAGAACTCTTTAACCAAAAGTTAACAGTGGAAATTAATTTCATAAATATTATATGCTATAATTCAATTATAATTTACTAATATAGACGTTATTACTGAATATATTAAATATTATGTATTATTATTCTCTTCATTAACGAAAATTATAATAATAAAGCTGGATTGGTTTAAGGTTAGCCGCGAATGAATACGGGGAAAAACGCCATTTTTTTTTTTTTTTACATTTGATTATACTAATGCAATATATAAAAATATTCTACTCGAAATAAAGCGAATTTATTACGATACAATTTATAATTAAAGCGTTTTTTTTATAGATTTATTGTAAAATTTGTAATTTTCTGACTATCGTCTCCTTTTCCGAAATCGTTCATTTCCGGTTGAATTCTTCCTCAACAGAGGGCGCTACCGAAAGAAAGCCAACTCACAAAGCGACATTGATATTGTCGTCTTATCAATTTCCAGTTTTTTGATAAATAATTTGGTGCATGTCTTTTTTTTAGTAAATAAATAACTCGAGACGGCCACAGGAATTTATTTGGAATGCATAAGTGAACATTTTTAAAGATATTGGACTTGTTTATAAATCATATATTGATTCATGTTAAGCCTAATCAAAATGCCTGGCGACGAAATGGTATGTATTCACAGTTTTACTTTTTAGAATTAGAAAATCTAAAGAATAATTTGAATTTTAAAATATAATCAATCCTAACAATACGTCAATGATAATTTTCGCAATTGTCATAATTATCTGGCAATATTTTTAATTATTCACTCTTTTTTTCCATTCAGTTTCTTTGATTTGAAGAATGTAAACAAAATTGTTTACATAATATTCTTTTGATCATTTTCAAGTTTGTTATTGATCACTGTACATTGAAAGTTGTCTGGGTATTGTCTGCATCTATTGAAAAACAATACTAAAATATTTTTAATTTAGAACTAAACATGACTAATTTTTTTCTTATCCTGCAAGTTTATTTGTGGATTAAGAAGAAATTACAGGAATTTATGAAGCCAGATGAAGAAATTAATGTTTTTATTTGGTTTAAAGTAAAATCGAAGTTATTATTATTAAAATTATTGTTACTTCTTCTTTATCTTTGCCTTTTCCCATGTTTATATGGTGTCGCCGTTTCCTTCTCTAATACGTTTCCTCCGTTTCTTCATATCAAAGGTGTCTTCTCTGATTCGAATCTTCCTCCACCTTATCTCTCTTATGCAGCCTTGGTCTTCCTCTCTTCCTCTTTCCTTTTCACTGCCAGTTTTCCAACCCTCTTTCTGACAATCTTCACTACTTTGCTCTACATTGCCAAATCACCTCAACCTAAATTCTTGCATCTTCCTGCTCAAGGAACCCACCTTAATGGAACCTCTAATAAACTCGTTCTTTATTCTATCCTTTCTTGACATTCCACACGTCCATCTCAACATTCTATTGTTACTAAAGTACAGTATTTCTAAAAACGGATTGGTATATACTAAATTATAAGCTAAACATTGACATTTAAATGATTTCTTTTTTGTTTTATTGTAGAAAGGAGGAAAGCTGATTGAGATTTTTTTTTGGGAGGAAATACTTAAAGCATTTCTTGAAATTTTTGTTTTTATTAATTTATTAAATTAAAAAGCCAAATTACTTAGATCTGGTTATATACAAATAATCAAATGCTAATCCAGCAATCATTTGGCTTTAAATTAAAGAGTAATTTGAGAGAAAAATTAGATTATAGAAACTAATAAGAGTATTTACCAGCATGGAAAGTAAATTGAATTTTTATGTTTTTATAAGATATTTGATAATAGAAATGTTGTTTAGAATCTTACATTTTATGTAGAATTGATTGATTTCATATGGTTAACTACTATGTATACAGAAATATCAAATTCGAAATTATAAATTACATGCAAAACAAATACTATATGAATTTTTGGTCTGTTTACACACAAAAGTATCCTAGTGGTAATTATTTCATATATTACTATGCATATGTAGCTAGAACTATTTCTAAGATTATCAGCACAAAACCTTTCTCACTACGATGACCCTTTCTCACTCATCGACGATGACGTCACTGGTAAGACGATACCTGGGTAAACATTGGCAGCATTTAAACTTCTTCTAACCGACGCTCCACAGTGTACCCGAGGAAGGCCTATTAAGAAGGCCAAAAACGTTTGTACTCCCGTTAATAAGGCTAGAAATTAGTGAGAAAGGTTTTGTGCTGATAATATTTCATATATTGGTATATTCATATATAATAGTAAATGTCTAAAAATCAGTTATGAATCAAATCAATTACCATCACTTGTTCCATTTTACAGATAAAAAATTATTGGATTTATATAATATTCTGTTTGAAAATCTCAGTATTATAATATAGAATAAATAAAATACCTTCAGTTGTGTACTGTGAAACCATAGAAAACAGTCTCACAGTCATTTGTTTTTGTATTTCAATGTTTGTGAGGTTAATGACATTGTTTTAATTTTTTATAGAATTTTCTAAATAAATAATATTGAAGATGGCTTTATCTGTGAAGTTGATAGTATGAAAATTGAATGCAGTGATACTATTCTCATTTTGATAAAAATGAATTTTTATTAATTAACATCACAAATATTTTATTTAATATATCTTGTTGTTTTTGTGGTTCACATATACCTATATTATATGATTAAAGTTTTATTGTTTACCTTTCAATCACTGAAGAAATTATTTAAATAAATATTATCTTTTCAGTAATCTTATTAGATAAATTTAGTAGCTGATTTCTTGTCAAGTTATTTAACTATGAATATTGTTAGCATATTTTTCAGGATTATATAAAAACATAAGAAAAATTTACTGTTTTATTTCTAAGAAAACCCAAAAGTTTTGGATTTTTTTTATCTTATTTAATGAAGTTATCATCATTGTAGAAAAATTAACTTTTAATAGTGCTAAAATGATTTAATTTACTGATTTTAAACTTATGATATATTATGATAGATTACTAGATGTAACAAATTAAATAGTAATAACTGACTGGATGAAATAGGAAAAAGATATATAAGTGACTATTTATAAGATTAAAGGACAGATTCTACAGATCAATAATGATATCAGAAATGCTGCTGTGTGATGTGGAATATTATATGATTAAGATGTACAGTACAAGGAACATAGACTAAATTAAATATTTGAGATGGAGCATTAGTGAAGCCTCTTTTGTTTCTCAAAATCTGTTGAATCGATTTTGATTAAACTTACCATTTTCCATTAATTGCAATGAGGAATCCAAAAATAGAAATGAGGAATAAAAACTGGGGTCTGTGACTGTTTGCAAGATATAAAATTGTAGCAAGGGCACATGCAACAAAGTGATATTGCATGAATCGTGTGACTTTGTCAGGCATTTTTCTATGGCAATGGTTTCCAAAGTGGGTGCTACTTCCCATGGCACTGGGTATTAAATCTACGAGGACAAAAAGAAGCAAGTGAGCAGAGTACAGAACAGTAACCATAGGTAAGAAATGGGGTCATTGACAACCTTTTCCTTTCCTCTGTTACAATGGGTAAGAAGAAACATTGTGTTAATGGTTTTCATATGGGGAAAACACTATGGTAAGGACTGTGAGGTTCATAGAAGAGTTTCTCCAAGAATATTTCCAAGCCTTTCTCACACAAGAAAAATGAGTTAGGGACATTGGATGTAAGTTTATGAAACTAATGGGGAGTTAGCTCAAAAAAGTTGGGAATCACTATTCTCCAGTCTCTAGCACACCGTCTATGGACTTATAGAATTGAGTTCATTTTCAAAATTTAATTAATGGGCTGATTTTGATAAAACTTTGCCATTTTCCATTAATCACAATGAGGAATCCAAAAATTAATGAGGGTCCATTTAAATGTAAAAAAATAGTGGTCCTTGACTTTGTTTTCTATATATAGAGGTATTAAAGTGACAATGTCTGTGCTCTGTGATAAAATCAATCGATGGTGTTGCTTTGTTCTTGGATTGACTCTTTATGTTGGCATGTGCAAGGATCATCTCTCCATACTCAGCCAGTGCATGGATCAAGTCTTCCACGGCTAGCAGGTACAAGGATTGTCTCTGTCATGGCCTGTAGGTACAAGATAGTTTCTTTTGTGGCAGCAAGTGCAAAGTTTACTTTTTCATATCCATTAGATACAAGAATTGCCTCTTCTATGCCTAACAGATGCAAGGATCACTTCTTTCTCTGGCTCCACCTCAATTCTATCATGTTACGATAAAGTCACCACAATGTCCTAGTTGTAAATACTTAATCTTATACACATTTTTTAATTTTTTGCACATGTTCAGTTCGATAAAGACTTTGCAGATGTCATGGCAGATTCAACTATATAATTAATTCAGCCTAGAATTTTTATGCTAAACTTAGTAGATTTTCCAAGCTATTTAATATAATCAATTGTGGATAGAGATAACTTAGTCAGTGTAACAAACTTGAATGATTGTATGGCTATTCTAAGTTATGTACAAAATGTTTCACATAAGGTGTTACAAGTCAATAACTCAGAAAATTGCTTCTGATAAAAAAGTTGATAAGAATGAAACTAATATTTTCAAGTGGCCTTTTTAATGCCATAAAAATAAAGCCTGGTCCATCCCTCCCCTTCTCAGTGGACTGAGACAATTTGAAATTTCTAAAGGAACCACTCCATTTTTTTATATTTTTGGATTCTCTTTTAAAAAAATCACTTATTTTTGTTTCATATCTGGATTTGTGGTCAGTTGTTGAAACACTGCTTGATCTTTCATGAAACATCTTACAAGGGGACCTTGCGGTCTCGAAAATTCAGTTTGGGATGAGACTTTGCAGGTTAGTAGTATACCTCGAGGGTGTCCACCCAGAAGAATTGTAAATTGCACTAGCAACAAGATTTTGAGAAAAAATGCTCTAAAGTTTTAAGTGCAGCTCATATACCGATCGATTTTACACTATGGCAGCACAGCGAAATGGCTGAGCCTGTAGCAAACTCGCTTGCCACACGGACAATCTAGGCTCGTTCTACCTTCGGCCAGCTAACTTTTTTTTTAATTGTTTTAAAAATTGTAACAACTTTTAAATAAAGTTAATGATCTAAAAATATTATCAATTAAATCATAAATAACTGTCAACTTTCACACCTGGGATCTAATCATTTGGTGAGTTTTCACAAGTCAGCAGTAAAAGTGGCACTTTCATATAACTTTCCCACCTATGGTCTAAGTTCATCTGTTGAAAATAACAAGGAATTGAAAATTTCTTCAAATTTAAAACGAATATTTTTAACCTCTAGGTAGCTTAAAATATTTTTTAAAAGTTGAATAATTTCAAATGCATTTCTAATGGAGGTAAATTAAAACTTTAATTTTAATTAAAAATTTTAAGATATTTTAAGCTGTGGAGAGGTTAAAAATATTCGTTTTAAATTTGAAGAAATTTTCAATTCCTTGTTATTTTCAACAGATGAACTTAGACCATAGGTGGGAAAGTTATATGAAAGTGCCACTTTTACTGCTGACTTGTGAAAACTCACCAAATGATTAGCTCCCAGGTGTGAAAGTTGACAGTTATTTATGATTTAATTGATAATATTTTTAGATCATTAACTTTATTTAAAA